CAGTAAACGTGAGATATACGAGGCTGCTTCCATCACAACATGCATACTGTTTTACAGTAAACTTCTTTTATAAGTAGAAAGAATACACTTTAACAATAAAAAGTATAGTATAGTAAATACATACACCAGTAACTTAGCCGTTCATTATCGCTATCAAGTACTATGTACTACACATCAGCAGTCCCTGACCTTTTTGGCACCAGTGACCGGTGCTCCTAGGAGAATCTAATGCCTAATGATCTGAGGTGGAGCTGAGGCAGTGATGCTAGTGCTGGGGAGTGGCTGCAAATACAGATGAAGCTTTGCTTGCTCTCTGCTCACCTCCTGCTGTGCGGCCCAGTTCCTAACAGTACTGGTCCATGGCCCGGAAGTTGGGGACCGCTGCTACACATAATTGTATGTGCCACACTTATATTGAACTGGCAGTGCAGTAGGTTTGTTTACACCAGAATCACTACAAACATGTGAGTAATGAATGCACTGCACTATAACATTAAGACAGTATGAGTCATTAGGCAATATGAATTTTTCAGCTGTGTTATAATCACATGGGACTGTCATATATGCGGTCTATCGTTGACCAAAACATCGTTATGTGGCGCATGACTGTACTTTAATTTCTGTACTGCTGATAGAATATATTTGTTTCATGGTCTAGATTATGAGATCCGTGAAAGAAGAAACTAAGTCATATTCGCATAAGAACCCTTAACACATAGCAGTTAGTAAATATATTTTTTAGAAATGAAATGTCAAATTATATTGGAGCCATACTTGGATGGGAGTCTAGGCCCCCCCCATCCAAATTTTCTGAAAATATATACAAAAATCAGAAACTGCAAATGACAGAAGGTATAAGGAACCCACTATCAGACCAGTGGGTAGTGGATTTCCTATTAGAAAATAAAGAGGTAGCTGTATTACCCTGACGATGTCAATAAACGGAAGGGCTATTTTCATGGAGGCAGTACAGTAAGTCTTCCCTTAACATTGTTGATAAGTTCTGAGACTTCAAGCAAAATGACATATAATGAAACCAATTTTACCATAGTCAAATAAATATGAGAGTTATGTTCCTACAGCATCTCATCGATGTTATAACTAAATAATGTTGAAAGAAACAATTTTTTAAGAACCTGCTCATTAACAATACGATAGAGAGCGTGGTGACACTAATATTGTATATGGATAAGAATATGGGCTCTGAAGTGATATGGCCCTAGGTTTGAGTCTTAGTTCTGCCTTAATTTCCTCTTCCATAAAATGAAGGTGACAGTGACGAAATCTCTCTTATAAACTTGTGAGGGTTAAATGAGATGATGTACATAAAAGCTTGGCATAGTGCTTAGCACATAGTAAATACTCAATAAAAATTAATTTTTATTACTACCATTAGTATTACCTCTCAAATTCTGGCCACTACTTGTATCAGTTGATTCAGATGGGAAAGAAAGAAATGACCCAAAGAAATGCGGGTCGTCTGTAGGAACAGTGAAGTTGTGCAACAGAAACTTCACATCCTGGAGGCATAACTACTACTATAGTCATCACTTTTTATTACAGGTGATTGGAACTCTGGAGAAAAAATAAATATAAAAAATCCAAACAATATTTAAGAATGGAATTTAGATTTTAGGTAAAAGAATGAATTTAGGTAAAGGAGTAATGGACTGAGAACTAAGGATAGAATGGATATGAGACCTGGGAAGAAAATGCTTGCCCAGAGAATAACTAATCCAAGTTTCCGCTATATTGAAGGTGCTATGCTTTGTGCCAGAGCAATACAGTAGTAGTAATAGTAATAATAAATAGTAATGATAGCAGCAGCGGTAGCTACTAATACCATGTAGTATTTACTATATGCCAGATACTGCTCTATATGCATATATTAGCTCATTTAATCTATTAACATTTAGAAGAAAAGGCTTAGAGCCCAACAGGTCTGGAGTTAAATCTTATTCGTGACATTAATGGCAAGATGACTCTGAGGAAGTTCTTTCATTTCTCTGAGCTTTAGTTTCCTCATATCTAACAGGGAGTAAGAACACCTAAGCCACAGGGATAATGTGAGGATTATGAGATTACAAACATAAAGTACCTGATATCTAGCAGATACCCTCGTAGATATGTTTTTATTATTGCGGTTAATATTATAATTATTATTAAATCTTAAGACCAAAAATATCATTCTGAAGGCATATGGTAAAGTTTTGAAATGGGTAACTTTTTTCTTCCTTTCTGAGTTCTTCTTCGACCTTTTAAAAAATGGTAAGCATCTTATGATATTAAGCTTTTCTCAGAATTAACTCTACATGAATAAAAAGTAGAATATTATAAAGATAAAAAGACCCTTAGACTAGCTTTAAAGGTTTTTTCTTCTTCTTCTAGGAATAGTAGTGATGAAAATACTACAGTTCCTTCAGTAAATAGTGCTGAAAATAATGAAAATGGCATATGGCTGGGGGAATCTTCCAAAGAAACTACTCTACGCAGCCATCCCCTGTTCTTTTCTCTGCCTTTTAAGGTCACGGTAACATGATAGAAAATCTGGGACTCACACCATCTGTCCAGACAGTTCTATCACTGCTCATTTCTCTTGTTAAATAATCAGAACACTTCACACTTCCCAAACACTGCCGCCATAAAGAGCAGTTAAAGCAGAATGAAAGAAGCTCTTTCTATCCAGAAATGTAGTGGTTAGAAATGAACAGTTCTTTTGAGGTTTGTGGGTTTCAGATCATGTCAGTAAGAAAGAAATTCAAGCCTTAGAAGGAAATTAAAGAATAATAGGATTATCATTCTGGCTCCAGAAATTATCTTTCTTAGAAAAGGTGACATTCTCATACAAGTTCTCTAAGAATAGATTTGGCAGTCTAATATTGAGATAATTATATCGGCTTCTATTCTGTAAATTTCTCATAAGACTAAGAAGAGGAATAATTTTCTTTACCACTACTACTACGACTAGTATTAATGACAGAGGCTAATAATTTCTTAGCATTCAAGGCATGCTTAATTCTCTTCAAAACCCTTTTTGTGTATTAACTCATTTAATCTTTAAAACCACTCTTGTAGCAATTTCTATTATTATTCCCATTTTACACTTGAGAAGATTTAGGCACAAACAGGTTAAATAACTTTCCCAAGGCAATATAGCTGGTAAAATGTAAAGCTTGGATTCAAAAGCAAGCAGACTGGCTCCATGCCTTTAATTTCTATGCTATACTATCTTATAGTTTTTTTTAAAAAAAAAGCCTCTAAATTATACATTAAATTTGGCATCTTTATCATATTTTGAATAACAAACTGTAGCTAGATATTAAAAACACCTGCCATTCACCTAACCACAGTGATAGCAATTATACATTTATTAGCTTATTAATTTCTGTCTTATAATCACAACTTATACAAATAAATGTTTGTTGTCAAAAAGCAAACTAGTGTTTTATAATAAATGAAAGTTTCAAGAATATGCTTTGAGGTCAATGTCAATTTGGGAATACTTTATGACGTTGAGAAAAAGGTTTGGATTACTCACTAACCTCCAGAACAAGTTTAACTTTACATGGAGACTTCTTGCCTTCAAATAAAAGAGTTAGCCATCCAAGTAGCATATGTCAATGTTCCCAGGAGAAACCAGGCTGAACGGGAAACTCCTCTTCTGTGTGACAGAACATTCCCCCGTGCCCAATGGCTCAAATGTATTCAATGTCCCAATCTCAGCTAGTTGGTGAGGTACGTCTATGCTACTGGTCACATAACTACCATGATAATAACAGTAATGACAGTAATCACATCAGTAATGATAATATTAATATAACATTCAATAATAATAATGATAACCACCATTTACTTAATAAAAGCTGAGCATTACGCTAAGAGCCTCATATGTCAGGTGTTTTAGGGCAGCAATAGAGAGTAGTGGTTAAAAGAATGAACTCTAGCGAGAGGCTGCTGTCTGACTCCACTTATATTCCATGCGATCTTGAACAAACTACTTCAATTCTCAGTGCCTCACAGAATTGCTACCTCTTAAGGTTGTTTTGAGGATTAGATGTGTGAATACATGTAAAATGTTCAGAATAGTGCCTGACACACAGTAAGTAGTATTACCCAAATTTAATAGATGAGATTATTGTTCAGAAAAGCTAACAGCCATACATTAGTTAGCTGTAGCTGAGGTTTTCCAGGTCTTCCTGACTCCAAAGCCCCTGCTCTTTAGGTTCTCATTCCCATTCATTCTCTCTCTCTTTCTCAGAACTGAGAATAGGCCAACTGCACCACAAAGGAGAGCATAGTTATTCTAATGTCACTTTTGTCTTTTTTCATCAAGGAGTTTTACTATGACAGCATTAAAAAAAATGTTTAAAATGCCAATCTGACATACTGCATTCCTTCAGTTCCGAGACACCCCCCGCCCCCAATTTTTCCATCTGTGAATCATGTGTCTTACAATTATAATTGGCAGTGTTTTTCTTTCTTAGAGGCACTAAAATAATGGTACATCTTACAATCTATATCATCTTACATTTGACAAAACATAGTAGCTGTTAAGCACAATAAGGATCAGCCCTCAGTCTATGTTAAAGGCATATACCTGAGCTTGCCCAGCACTCATGGCCTCAGCCCCACTCAATCTCAACTTCACTGAAACTTCACTTCACCTTTGCTATCTCTTTAAATTATCAAGCTCCTACAGCTCTCAGAGCCAATCAGTTTTTTGGCTCAGGCTCTAGGCCCAGTTTTTGTGTTCCTTGTTGTGGTTTTCCCCTTCTGATGACTCAAGGGCTCCTAATCATAATGAATCTTAGGACTGACAAACTCAGGGACACTTACTTCTAGTAGAGTGTCCTGATAGGCAGTCTCATTTCACAAACATAACTGGGCTCTACAGGTAAGCTGAGAAAGTATTAGCCAATATTAGAGCCTTGACAGAGTATTTCTCAGCCTTCTGAAATTATTTCCATATCTCCTTTTATAAATACTTATCTGATTCATACTTAAATTTTTTTCCTGTTTTGGCCTGAGTGCCTCCATTCCACACATGGTCAGTCTCTTCATAGAAGAAAAAAATGTCAAGTTTCACATCGTCTTTTCCTTGGAAAGATAGTTCCAAGCTGTCTTCTACCTAGAGGGAAGATGAAAACCTTCACAGACTGAAACAAAGGAAATATATTTTTTAAATTAAAATAAGATAATGTTTTTATAGAGAGAGAACACTGATTTTGGATACATGTTTTTTCAGCTTGGAACACCTCTGAAATTAGGATGCATCAATAGCACATCATCATTTCTTTCTTAAATTTATATAAAAATAATATTGATACAATTAATATAATTGATGACAACTCAGGATAATGATTTACAGTAGTAATTATCACTCTGCAGCACATCCTGTCCCTGAGCCCCTTTCTAACTAAAGAAGGAAAGGAACCAAAGACAAATCACTCCTTTTAATAATCAAGTAAAACTATCAGGAGAGAAGTTTCTCATTACAATAAATAAGTACTAAGTAAATGTTGTATAATAGAAACCCATACACATACCATAGATCATTATGTTATGTACATGAAAAAAAAGAAAAGTTAAAGATACAAAGAATTCTGAGAGTATTTCCCTAGAGAAACTTATTCTACAAATAATTATGTTCCCATTGGACTTGGTACATCTGTCTGTCACAGCACTAATCACATAATAATTATTTATGCATTTTTTTCCTTCCAATTAGACAGTGAACTCCTCAAAGGTAAGGACTATACTTTAGTCATCTTTGTGTCCTGGGTGCAGAGCACAGTACCAAGCATAGAGTGAGTGTTGCGTAAATGTTTGCTGAATGACCAGAGTTCTATTGCTTTGACTTTGATCTCAGGGAAGTATTTTATTAAATTTTTTAGTAAACATAAATGATTATGATGAGGAAAGTAATTTTCCAGTGACTAAACATACTTCTACTTGCTTTCCAAGACAACACTACCCTGGGAACAAGATAATTAAGAGTAAGGTAACTGGCTTACAGCATAGGAATCAAATAGTCTAAAAGGAGATTTCATCCAAGCCACAATGACCTACTCCCAGTTGATCTGTGAGAAAACTGCTATGATCTTGGACAGGTGAAAAAAGAAATTCAGAGAAAAAAAAATGGCATAGATAATAGAGGCTCTGTTCATCACTCTGGCAACCAAATCAAAGTTGTGATGGAAACAAGGAGCAGTAGCAAGGAAAAATCACCTAAGATCTAGATAAACAACCATACAACTAGGGAGAAATCCAAGAAAGCACCCTGCAATGGCAGACGGTAGGACGGGATGAGGACGCGAGGCTGCCCAGTCCCGAGTGGCTGAGATAGAGGCTCCGGCAGCGGCAGACGCCTCTTAAAGGGGCCATGACAGCAAGTGGATTTTCGCGGAGAAAGACCTGCTCGCTCTGAGCACCAGTGCCCGTCTGGCTGTGTGCAAGGAGCGCCAGGGACTTATAGGGAGACATTGTCGCACTGAGGGCTGAGGGGAGACTTGCTTGGTACAGAGTGCGGGCGGTATCCATTGTTCCCTGTTGAGCTCTCCCTGCTACTAATGCACTGGACAGAGGGCCGCCATAGCTGTGATGTCATCAAACTGTGATAACAGAGGTCGCTCCACCCAGAGGATTCCCTGAAACTCTGCCTCGCCCAACTCACGGCCCCACCCAAGCCGCATCCAGGTATATCCTCAGCGAGTCAGGTGCTCCTTTCTGAGACTCACACTGGTGGAGGCAGCTGGCCTCGGTTTCTGGTGTGGCCTTTTGAGGTAACTATAAGCACAGCATCTGTGGATTGTCAGGACTGTGCCACTGGACACCTACTTCACAAATCTACATTAATAAGACCGGGAGACTTAGCAGTTTTGCTTAGTACATAGAAATAGACACAGAAAGGCAACCAAAATGGAAAGACAAAGAAGCAGAAACCATATGAGAGAAGAGAACAGAAATCCAGATATAACGGAGTCAAGTAATCTAACAGATGTAGAGTTCAAAACATTGGTTATAAAGATGCTCGATCAACTTTTTAAATTCAGTGAGAACTTCAACAAAGAGATAAAAAAAACATAAAAATGGAAGTAGAAATTATAAAAGGGAACCAGTCTGAAATGAAGAACACATTATCTGAGATGAGAAGTATATTAAATGGAATAAAAAAGGAATAAACAAAGTGAATAAAGAAGAGGATTATATGCCCTATCTAGAGGACAGGATAGCTAATCAGGATACTCAATCAGAATGGTAAGAAAAAAGATGCCAAGAGTATAAAAATAATTTAAGGAGGATATAGGACCCTATTAAGGATCCAAATATTCATCTGATTGGTGTAACAGAAGAAAATCAAGATGTTGAACAGCTGTTCGAAGAAATAATGAGGGAAAACTTCCCTAACCTGGTGAAAGAAATAGACATAAAATCTCAGGAAGCTCAGAGGATTCCAAAAATCAGGGATCCAAAGAGGCCCACACCAAGACACATCATAATTAAAATGTCAAAGGTTAAATACAAAGAAAGAATACTAAAAGCAGCAAGAGAAAAAGAAATTACATGTAAGAGAAGACCCAAATGACTGGCAGCTGATTTCTCAAAAGAAACTATGCAGGACAGAAGGGCTGGGCAGAAAATATTCGACAGGATGAAGACCCAGGATATACAACCAAGAATAATTTATCCAGCAAAGATATCATTTAGAGTTGAAGGACAGATAAAGAGCTTCCCAGACAAAAATAAGCTAAAGGAATTTATCAACACCAAGCCAGTACTACAGGCAATGTTGGAGGAACTTCTTTAAGAAGAAAAAACATGTATCAAAAACAGGAATAAAGAATGGTAACAACTACGTTCCTATCAATAAGTATCTTAAATAGAAAAGAATTAAGTGCTCCAACCAAAAGATAGAGTGCCTGAAAGGATAAGAAAACAAGACCCCAGCATATGAAAAGGGAGAAGCTGGAAAAAGATATTGCTTTGATGAATCTAGAAGGTATTTAAGTCAGACAGAGAAAGATAAACACTATATGATTTCACTTAGGGGGGTTAGGGAGGCTGGGAGAATGGGGTGAAGGGTTAAAGAAGTACTAACTGGTAGCTGATGGATGGTCTCAGGGATGGGGAGCATGGCATAGGGAACGCAATTAGCAATAATACATTGTCTAGGTGGAGGATTAGAGGAGGGAGGAAGCAATTGGGGGGATCATTTTACTAACTATATAGATGTCTAACCAATGTATGGTATACTTGTAACTAATTAAAAAAGAAATTCAAGTACTCTTTGAAATGAGTCCTTATTTCTAACCCTTAGCAATCAGTGGAATGTTTCATGTTGATAATAAAATTCTAAGTGACCATAAAATTAAACTACTCATGAGAAAAAACATAACTTCAGGTAGGGTAGGTAGGATTCTTACTTATTAATTGTACATTATATTAATTACACGTTATGGTGTTGGCTAATATAATCGGAACAAATTCATCTGCAAGAGTCTAAGATCTTTCTCTCCTTCTCATTGTCAATAGAAAACCAGATTTTCTAGTTTTCCTTAAGTAGTGCAGAGGTCACAAGTGGTAAAAAGCTTCTGCTGAACTCATCCTGGCCAATACTTAGTGATAAAATGATGCATGCAATGTTCTTAACCATTTCTGAGTTGCTTAATATAAACTTTACTTTTGAAGGTGTTACTTATGAGGTAAAGTGGATTTTTATTACTGACCTTCCCAAATTTATGTTTGAGTGGAAGTCCTGCATCCTGAAATGCTGAAATCATATTAGATTTGTAATCTTGTATAAAAATTCCTAGGTCAACATCTTTACTATAAGGAATAATACCACACTGCCGATACCATCCTAAAAAAAAATAAATGAGAAAACTTTTTAAAAACTTTAGATTGGAAAAAATTAGTCATTATTATAATGGACGATCCTTATTTCATAGAATTAGACTTAGGGTAGTTTACTAAAATTATTTCTTTAAAACTTAAATCTCAAACTAAATTCTGTGGTTAAAGAACCCACCTGTTAAAGAAACTGTCCTTCTCGCCTCCTCCCTCTCTCCCTTCCTTCCTTCATTTCTACCAGTCTGAGCACTCAGAATCCTCAAAAACGTTCATGAATATTTTAATTTCTGAATAAATTATTAGCTTTAATAATGTTAACTGGGCCATTCACTTCAAAGAATTACGTTACTTCTGAGAATGTTTAATCATAAACCTGTAATGAAGATGCCTTTAAGATCTACTAACAAATGTAATTTAATTCTTTTGGTTAAACAATATCTCTTTCTTGAGCAGTTTTAGAGAATCTAACAGCTCTGAACAGCTCATATCTAATGGATCATATAAAGAAGAGTAGTATCAATCTCAATTTTCAGCATCCTGTCAAAAGGTATTTCTAGGTATTTGCTATACATCCACTTCTCAATCATGTGCTATAATACTATTCTAAAAAAAAAAACCCCCACAAAATTTACCCATTAATATTACTAAGGGCTCCTGGGTCTCCCCTATGATCCATCTAAGCTTTCCATCTCAATTATTTAAAAAGTAAATAAATGTCTACAATTATCTTTATAGGTACTGCTATCGGGCAAAACTGTTTATAATTCTCAACTTTCACTTTATTTTAACATGGATCTTTAGAAGCCTAGAATGGGGGTCTCTCCTCTAGTTTGAGAAAAATCTATAATCTATATCTATCAAAGAATCATAAACTATTAAAAATGCAAGGCTCCTTAATCCAACTCCCCCATTTTATAAATGCTCCCAAATCAAGAAAACCATGGGGCTAAAAACTCTAAACAAATCATGACAAATGATTGAGAAGTATTTCTGATGACACAGTCTACAAAACAATTTTGCTTCAAAAAGTTAAACCTCAAAGCACATACCATATACATGTGTGAGATGTACTTTTTTTTTTTTTGGCTTACTCAAGCTATAAGCTCCTTGACAGCAAGAACCATGTGAATTGTGAATTTTCCACAAAGCCTGGTAGATAGGATAACCACATACAGTTTATGCTTGCTATACCAACAAAAGTATTAATGGGACTCCCTTTCACTCTAAAAGTCTCTTGAATTAGAAAATAAATTATATGGTAATCCTATAAAAGCGGAAGCAGAATTAATTTTTGTACAAATATAGTTATAATCAAGAAAGAACAGATATAGTTGTAACGAACTAGTTATAAACAAGAGAGAATAAAAACAACAAAATTTAAGATTCTAAATAATTCTAAATTCAAAGAAGTCTGATCTAACAGATAGAGGAAAGAGAACCAGAAATCTTTCTCAGATTCTAACAGCAACTTGCCGAAGGACTCCGGAAAAGTCTCCATTTGCCCATCTCGGAATGAATAGAACATGGTAAGGCAGTGATGCCCAATTGGCGATACCATCGATGACCTGGAAAAGGTTCGTGGAGGACCTCATGACAGTCCCCTTCAGTCCTCCTCTCATTAGAAACTGATGGTGCAGTGCAAGTTGTCTGTATGTGTAAGTAACGACACTGAATAGAGTTGTTTTCTTTTAAAAGGCAACAATAATCTTTTTGATAGAAATGATAAAATGATAATCTAAGAATTACCTGAGAATCAGTCTACATGTTCTGATATAAATTTTATACACACAAATTATTTTTGGTAAACACAGATTATGACCTTCCTGACTCATGTTTATGTTTCTGAAATTAATTTCTTCAAAGAAATTAATAAATTGTTGCTCCATGCACTACGTTTATTCTATCTATAAATATGGCACTTCAAATACCACTGATATTTTGTCATCTATCTCAAGTAGTCATCCCTGAAGCTAAAGAGAACGAAGTGACACAAAGACAAACGTAAAAGAACAAGAATTTTACCTAGACAAGTTCCACTGCTCAGCCAGAACTGTACTCCCAATTTCTTCAATGTTTTGGCTGCGAGCTGCAACAATTCCTTTGCACTCTTCCGAAACATCATAGCTTCCACAGTGTTGTCATCAAGGTATTGCTACAGATATAATAAATAGTCAGCTACTAAAGCCATTTCTAAATTGCTAAAACTATTTCCGTGACATCTAATTTAAAATTAAAAATTAGCTCCATATAGTTTCCTATTATAAAAACGAAGTTTCATAGTTCCCTGTTAGTCACACACTTATTTTATAAAGACAATAGGAGTAGATTCTAGAAGAGACAAGTTAAGGGGAAGAGATATAACCAAGATTCTCAAACGGTAAGATTTACATCCTTATCAACACCCTCCTCCACATCACAATTGAGCAGATTGGACAAATGCACGGAGAACTAATGCACTATTTCACTGATGTAATTGGTCTTTCGAGACTGTACAGTAGAGTAGAAACAGCCTGAGATTTCAAATCAGATTATCCGTGTTCAAGTCTAGCCTCGCTTCTTTTTGCCTGCAACCCTGGGCATATCATCTCAGAATATAAGCTCTCTGAGGGAAGTGACTTCGTTTAGTTTACCACTCTATCTCCAGTGCCCAGAGCAGTACTTGAATATCTGATGAAAGAATGAGACAAAGAACAAACCTCTCTTAGATATAACTTCCTCATCAGGAATTAAAGGATAATAATTATACTTTGCAGGACTACTGTGAAGATTTAATAAATTAATAGATGACAGAAAAATGTCTCACAAATTGTGAAGCTCTATACAAATAATATTATCATTTACTTAGTCTTCTTGCTTTTCTTCCTTTTTAGAGTGTTCTGGAATTGAGGAAAGCACCATAAATTCTTCAGGGATGCTTCACTACCTATGGGACAAAGTCTAAGCTTCTTGGCATGGCAGACAAGGACATTTGAGTTCTGGTCCCTGACTATTGGCCCAGCTTGAACTTCATCCTCCTTGTATTTCATATTACAGCGATAACTTGTAGTTCCCCAAATACACCACAACTCTTCAATCCTCTGTGCCTTTATATATGTTATTTTCTAAAATCTTTCAGGTTTCAGTTCCGCCTTTAGGGAAACATTCCCTGATTTTCCCAGGAAGACGTATGTATTTATTCTCCCCGTGTTCCTCTTAAGTTCAACATTTAGAGAGCCAAGAATTATGTTTGGTACTAGATACAGACAAAGACAAATAAAATAATCTGTTCGTGAGCTTATAACTGTTACCACTCATATATACTTGTCCTATAATTTTTATTGTATTCAATTCTAATTGTTCACTTTATTTATATTTCCTCCATTAGGCTATAAAAATGGTTCCTTAAGGATAGGTACTGAATCTCTCCATCACTGTAAGTACAAATTTAGATTGCACTTAATATGTGAGTAACACATACTGATAAAATGGATAAATGAATAAATGACTGATAGCTTCCTCCCATGCTTACAATATCCTAAGATATCCTGTCATTCTTTTACAATATGGCAGGATGAATCAGTTTCTAGAAAGATTATAGGGATCTTAAGCAAAAAGCAGCCCTTGGAAGAAAGTGGAGTTCCTAAAGATAAGTTGCCTTCTCCAGACTATACGAATTACACGGGATCCCTTCAAGATAAAAACACCCTTAGACATAACTTCTCTTAGAACATACATACAATTGGAATGAAAGATGCAGGTTTCTATCTTTGTTGTAATGGGAAAAGCCTGGAGCTAGGGGTTTGGAGCCCCAGGATTTAGTTCATGCTCAGCCAATAATGACTGCATAGCTAACATCTCGAGACCTCGGTTTTCTTATCCGTTAAAGCAAACACTTACTTGCCTTATTTCACAGTGACCAAAAGGATTAAATTAATTAACAGGTATGAAAACTCTGTGCTCTACAAAAACATTACTCTGATAGTTACATTCTACTGAGGCTGCCCCCTGCACGGACATACCCTCACCTTGATATACCTTTCCTAATATGATACTCCTAGAGATTCCATTTCTTAGAACTAACCCTTATATGTGTTAGAGTGTATACATATATACACTTGCACACCTTACACACACATTACTCCTATCACTGAGGGGGCCTGTGTGCAGCAAAACCCAAATGGCAACAAGCACATCTGACATGCAGATATTAGCTTCTAAAAAGAACCAGGACTCAGAGATATGACTGATTCCAGGGTTGTGGCAGGGAAATTACAAAATAAACCTAGAATGTCTTGTACCAAAAGGCAAGAAAGAGTTCAAAAAATGATGGAAACACGTCAAAAAGACACAAAAGCAATTGTGAATGGGTTCACAATGGCCAAATATGGAACAATTTGAGGATGAAAATAACGGACTATAACTCATTGAAAAAAATAGAAAACCATGAGTTCATCTGATATAACCAAATAAATTAGAGGTATGATGATGATATTAGTAATATTTACACAGTTTTAAAGTACTTTCATGCCAAATACCTATTAATAACAAAAAGAATAGATACTTCACAGAGGTGAAGCCAGCAGATAGAAGTTTAATCAAGTGATTAATGTGAATGTCAACAGTAATGGGACAATTCAAAATCATGCAGCACGCAATAGCATGTAATGAGAAGAGCACAGCATCACCTCAACGTTACTCCTACTAAAGGTATAACCTGAATCTAATGTGAGGAATAAACAGACAAACCCCAAATGAAGGACAATTTACAAAATATCTGGCCTGTAATCCTCAAAAGCATCAAAGCCGTGAAAGTCAAAAAAGGACTGTGAAACTATTCCAGACTGAAGGAGGCTAAAGAGACGAAAATTAAACACAGCATGTGATTCTGAACTGAATCCTATTTTGATAAAGGTCATTACTGGGGCAATTAGAACAACTCTGAATGGGGATTAAATAGTAATAATCTATGTGTTAATTTCCTGATTTTTGTATTAAGACTGACAGGAGAATGTTCTTACTTTTAGGAAACACTAAATTATCTAAGGTTGTGGGGTATATGGTCTACAACTTACTCCCAAATGGTTCAGAAAAAAGAAAATTATTTACACTGCATATGCAGCTTTTCTGAAAGTTTGAGAATGTTTCCAAATCAATTATTATTTTAAAAAAAGACTGTTAGGAGGCTGCTTTATGATATTTTTAGATTTGTTCATTTCTTGTTTTACACTAGGCATTGTTTACAACAGTGGTCTACAACTTACTCCCAAATGGTTCAGAAAAAAGAAAATTATTTGTACTGCATATGCAGCTTTTCTGAAAGTTTGAGAATGTTTCCAAATCAATTATTATTTTAAAAAAAAGACTGTTAGGAGTCTGCTTTATGATATTTTTAGATTTGTTCATTTCTTGTTTTACACTAGGCATTGTATTTACAACAGTTTGGCGCCATCAAGCGTTCAAAGTTATGTATATTCACTTCAATTTGAAAACAGACCCTGCTGGTATTTTAATCATGGTTCTAACATAAGAAATGATGAAGAATGAAACATTTAAGAACATAAAAAGTAAAAAAGTTATCAGTCCCATCAGGCAATATATATCAGTAATACCAACACATTAGCAGAAAAGAAAAACAAATTAGGAATCACAAGTCTGTCTTGCTGCAGTGAGGACACAGATAACATGGTGAAGAATGAATCCAAAGTTCCACCTGATACTGCTATGAATATAAACCTCTAGACAGTATTATAGTCTTGCTATGTGATAGTACTTTAAACACCAAAACTATGAGGCTATGATAAACTGATAAGCCCTCTGAGCATTAGTCATCTATATTTTTTACTCAAATGTGATTGTTTGCCCTCAAAATTTCAATAGAATGAAAATATGGAATTAAAAAATGACACTATACTAACGATTTATCAATATTTGAAACATTTTACATTTTATACTGGCTTCCCACAAAGATCAACAAAATGAGTCTGGGCAAATGCTTGTAGGTAATGGAGTAGCTCTAATAAATGTCCCTAAAAAAAATCATTTGATTCAGATGAACACCTTATTCTTCATGCACTTTTCCATAATTATAAGATCTTTCCTTTGTGTCAGGTACCATGCTAGATTTTGGGGCCACAGAGGTAAATAAAATGCCTGTTATCAAAAAGTTCACATAATCTAGTAGGGAACAAGGCAGACATTCACAGTTCACTGTGATAACTGCTACGACAGAGATGGCAACCAGAACTCCCTTAAAACAGAGTGAGTGAGTGGTCAAGTGAAAGCACCAGACTGCATCTCTTCTGCTTCTTGTTACTATGTGGTGGGGATATGATGGGCAGCACTTGCCTGCTAGAGCAAGCCCATCCAAACATGTGGTTTTCCAGCTTTTTATCCATGAGGCTGACTGGGTATGTTTTACAGCTCTACAGTTACAGATTTAAGGGGTTGGGGTTAGGAAGGCCCACTTTGGCCATCAGGCCTAGGTCCTGGGGCCAGCACAGCCTACTAGAAAAACTTTGTGTTTGCAGGTGTTGAGCATTTGACCAGTGATGATATAGCTGGCACTTCATTTTCCCATCTGCTCCTGTCCTTGTGTATATAGCTTTTTTCGAAAGGGGACCCAGAAAACAAAGGGCAAGTGGAAGAATTAGGATATCGAAACCCCACTGTAAATCTCACTGTATTCCCAGTATTTGTTTCATGTCATCTCTTAGAACTGAACTTTCATGCCCTTCAACATCATCTTTGTATCCCCAGAGTCAGCAGAGTTCCTGGGAAACAGGTTTTCAATAAATGTTTATTGAATTGAAAGCTAGGGTAGCTGAATAAAGTAAAGTTCAAAAGCACCTGGTCTTTGTATAGCATTTATCTTCAGAACCTTCATAAACACACAGAAAAATTCATATTCAGCATCAGTGCTGAGAAAAACTGTATTTTCTATGAAATTTTTTCTAAGATTTTTTTCACATGGTCTATCTTCTGCAGTGGCTTCGTCCTCCTTCGATTGCTTCAAGAAAAGAACACACCATCTTTCATAAAGTTGATGGGCAATCCTAACTGAAAGCAGAAGCCAATGCTAAACCTATCAAAATCTATCCAAATATAACAAGGCCACATAAATATCAAACCATCCAACAAGGTCTCCATAAATATCAAACCATATCAAACGGTTTTAAGGTTAAAGTTAGTCTACTTTTTTAAAAAATTAAAACAACCTAGAAGAAAATAGATAAATCAAAAAAGATGTGTCCTTACCTTTTTTCCATCTCTTTATCCCCTTGCCCCAAAATATTAAAAACAAACACACGTCCTTTAATTTAAAAAGTATAATATCTGGTTATCTCTAACCTGAAAGAATGCTCGAGCTTCTTTATACCTACACTCGATAAACCTAGAGTGTGGTATTTCTTCTAGAAAGTGCATTAGATCTTTTGGAATGAGAACATCTAGTCCATCAACAGTAATTTCTTGTAACTCTGGCCTGAAAACAAAAGTTAAGATTTATTTTAAGGACTTAACCCAGAGCACTGGCAGCCTCCTCAAAATATATAACATAAGCAAAATAGTAAACATCAAGCATATTTTCTTCAATTATCTCAGATATCAATTTTTAGATCTACTCTTAGCAATTTTGAAATATACCATACGGCAGTGTTATCTATAGTCGCCTTGCTGTATATTACATCCCTAGAACTTATTTCTCTCATAAATAGAAGTTTGTATCTTTTGACTATTTTTACTACATCAGTGTATACCCATGAACATATTTTATCCTGTGTTGAAATTTTTACAACCATAAGATTTGCATTCTTTTATGCCTTGCTTTTACCACCCAACATTGTAGATTCATCTATGTCATTGTACAGAGTGCTCGTGCATTCACTGCCCTGCCCTACAGTACCACTTTATCGTATGAATATGCAACATCTTGTTGGGGGCATTAAGAACCATGTTGCTATGAATATTCTCATATAAATTCCCTGGTGCATTTGTGTATGAGTTTCTTCCTGTTAAATATTTACATTTCAAAACTGATTTATGTGAACTGCATATTAGGTTTAATTACTAAATGTTAAAAAAAAAAAAAGGTAAGAATTCATGACTAGACAATATAGCTTTCGCATTTCCCATTTAGACTCTGAATTTACCTGTCAAAAGCTCCTGGATACCGACCAAACTGCAACTTTCGAAAAGGAACAAATTTCCTGTCAACGTGGGCTTTGAGTCGTAGATGGCCATGCCAGAGGTAGTTGCCACTCCTTTCATGAAAGACCACCAAGTGGATGGTATGAGTGGCCAATTTGCAGAGGTAGTGCAGGGGGATTTCAGTTCCAGAAAGTGAGTCTATTCCATCTAGCCGGGGATCTTTGTTCTCAATCTTTAGGCACTGAAATCCCATATTTTCAGCTATCCGAAACCAGCCTTCCTGAAACCAAAGAAACAGCAAGAATAAATATTTAAAACCAAATACTAGTAGCAAAATTAAAATGATTCTTACACTGAATTAAGCCACACATATTTTTGTGCTAATCTGTTCTTTGCCTGAAGACTTAAAAATGAGGGTGATGAGGAGAAGGAGATGATGGGAGAAAAAAGGAAAGTACCTAAAAGAGAAACTACATAGCTTGGAAGATGTGTTCAAAGACCCTCTTTATGAAAATAAATACAAACATTTTCCCCTGGAATGAGGATGCTCATTTTAGTGTTCTCTGATTAGTACCTATAAAATAAATGTTAACATATAAGGATAACACTTAAACTTGTAATTCTCAATTTAACTTATATTAACCTTATCTTCAAACGTGCTTGAAAAAAGTAGTCGTTTCAACTCAGTTTATATCTCATCTGCTACCATAATAGAAGCCCACCATAATGCAAATCATTAGAAAACAGACTGAGACAAAGTAAAGGCCTAGGTCAAGTCTGAACTGCACAAATCTACTCCCAGTTGCCTTTGCAGTGGTTTGTGCACTTTATAATAATGGTCTTAATTAAGAAAAATCGCATGCAGATTAAGTCTATAGTAATTAGATCTACTAATCTAATTAGCTCTACCTTGGGAGAAGTTTTAGGGAGGAACATCCAAGGGCTCTGCATGATGTCATATGTATAAAAGGATAAATGTCAACCGGTGTTCTTATTCTGGATATTGCTGGCCTTTTGCTTCTTCCATTGGCTCTGGTCATAACCATTTTGCCGACTGTGGCATATTCCCTTTCTTCTAAAGTATCAGTTGTCAAGTCAAGTAGTACTGTATCCAAGAGACATTTTAGAAATCTGTGGGGATATTTTTGGTTATCATAATGACTGAAGAGGACATGCCTGGCATTTAGAGGCCTAGGTCAGGAACACTGAAAAATCTATCCTGTGTCTTGCATAATTTCAAATGTTCTATCAGATAATTACAAAGTGATAAACTTGTTTATAATTATCTGAGCCTCCATTTCCTAGGAATACCATAGCCATGTTAAAGGGGAGACAATTTTTCTTTTTTGTTCTTGTTGGAAACTTGTTCATTATTTTGGAAAACCACACTAGTAAAAATATATTCAATAATATTTGAAGCTATCACATTCAGTGGTCCTACTAATAAGTACAAGCATCTGAATTATTTTAGTATGCTTTCCAGTGTGGTCATGCCTGAGCATTTAAACACTGAAATATACATTTCCTTTTATTTCTACTTTATTAGAGTTAAGACACTATATTGATTTGGGAGATTATATATGCAGATAGGTTATAATTTCTACAAACTTCATTTTGGGAAAATAAAGGAACATTATATATACTCTTTGTAAAAAGGGTTTATAAACCTTGTAGGCTTTTCATTATGAGGAAATCACACAGTCCAATAGGAATGACATTTGGGAGTCTCTCCAGTGAAAATGCTGGCATGCTCTTATTATCCTATAGTGAAACCCACCAATTAATGAGGTCTGACCATAACAAAAAGCTTCCAATTGGTTTTCAGTGCCTTATTCTTAAATATGAAAGACAAAGATCAACAAATATTGTAGAAAATCTGTATCATGAAAAACAAATAAAACCAATAACCATACCAAAAAAAACCCCCAAAAAACGAGAAAGAGGGATTTAGAAAAACAAAATGCAGCAGGGAGCAAAAAACTTTTTTAAACAAACAAAACTTTAAAATCTGCACAGCAAAAAAAACAAAACAGCCCCCATAAAACAAGAATGCTATTATAGGAAACAGTACACAGAGTTCTTAGAAAATAAAAATATAAAACTTTCAAGTAAAAATATTTTAAAAATCAATGGCGTTAAAGATTTTGTTTAAAAGTGGAACCATTAGAAAAAGAGATGAAAAATCATAGAGCAAAGACTACAATATGCAGAGAATACAATGATCAATATTCAAAGAGAGAGAAAAAGACAAAGAAAGGGAGGAAAAGAGGATGGGAGAGAGAGAGAGAGGGGAAGGGAAAAACTATTTGAAGTTATCTTTAGAGTTCAGAGTCCAGTATAGTTGCTGAGAAACAATATCAAAATACAAAAGTCAAAAGCATCTCATTCACCTATAATAAAGAACTGGAAATAAAAGAGAAAAATAGAAAAATACCTGCCTCCCCCCCAAAAAACTATAAGGTAGCAAGAAAGAAATCTTACAAAAGATGTGTAAAATCTGTAAGAAAAATTAGAGTATTCTATTAAATAACATCAAAGGATACCTGAAGTTAAAGGACATATATTTCATGTTAACGGATAAGAAATTTTAATGTTTTAACAACGTCAAGAGACCTTGCCGGCTTTTGCTTTCTCACACTAGCCTGGACTAGCCTGGTTAATGAAAAACAAAAGGCCCAAGCACCTCCACCACTACACCTGAAAACCTGCCATCCAGAGGAAGCACAGCTGCCTAGCTGACTAGCAGCTGCATAAGTGAGCTTAGCTGAGACCAGAAAGGCCCAGCTGAATCCTACCTAAATTGCTAGGTCACAGAATCATGAGGTACATAAATGGATGTTGTTTAAGCCACTAAATTTTGGGGTGATTTGTTACACAGCAGAAGCTAACTACTATATAAGCCAAATTAGAAATCAAATGTGCAGGTAAAAAGAAACATTTTCAGATATGCAAGGTTTCAACTTCCCATTCACCCTTTCTCAGAAGGGAATTCCTCAAATGTGAAGAGGAGTTACAGAACAACATTTGCAGGGCAAATCAATCTGTATGAGGGCAGAAAGTCCAAGAGCTCTAGGAATATGTCACCAAGAAAGGAAAATTGGAACTGAGATTACCTGATATGATAGACCATACTGAGAGTTTCATATTTCTGTTGCAGAGTTCACAAATGGATTATTAATAGATATAAAGAAAACTAGCAAACAACAAAGAAGAAAAAAGTTGTATAAGAAAAGGAATATAATCAGAGTAAACTAGGCATCATGTGTGTGATTATATTTTCATAATAAGGTAAACACTGACTACTGATTTAACTATAAATTGTGATACTGTTATTTTAGGATGATAGTGGGAGAAGTGTGTGTGTAAATGAGACAAAGTAGATATAACAGCTAAATTCTAATAATTCGTAATCTAAATATGAAATATCAAAAATAGAAGCATAAGTATTTCATTTATAGATGAGAAGATAAACAAGGTAGACACAGTGGAAAGTGGTTGGCTCTGGGAGTGGGAATAATGGGTGGGGAAAGAAGAGGCAGATACTATTTTTTTCATTATAAGCTCTGCATTATTATCTGACTTTTTAAACTTAGTACTAGTATTATTATGATTTAAAAAGTAAAAAATTACATTTAAAATACCATGTCCCAACTTTTCCGTAAGTTTAAATATTTTCAAAATATAAAATTGAGAGGAAAAAAAAAACAAGAACCACAGGCCAGCAATATGTCAAAGCTCATTCTTTTGAGGCCCAGGGTAAGAGCCCAGGGGAATCAAGAAAACGGGTAGCTTATCCTGCTTTCTCAGACCACATCATCACCCTGGAGTGTAACCCCACCTATCGGAGGTCAACACAACTAAAACAGATTCATCTGCAGAACTAGTGCATAGTCTATCGTGGCTGGCTGACTAACCAGTTTAGTTCATTGAATCTGATGTTAATTTTCTTATTCTTACTTGAGTAACAACTCCTCAGAATGAAAAAAACAGTGAAATTGGGATTTTAGAGGTATTCCAAATAAAGAAGTAAGCAAAGTTTTGACATGTGTGATTGAGCCTTTATTATTATTACTATTATTATTACTGTCTGACTACTGCCTGTAACCATTAAGCAGGATAAAAATATAAGTTCAAATTTTGGATAAACCTAAGAAGCACCCCACTTCAGTACCAAACAAGTACTGTGCACTTACAAAGTGGAAAGAATGGTGCTATAGACGAGGGATGCTACTGTCACATACACCTTACGTGGCAGATACTGAAAATTCATCGCCAAATCCCTTCCTACTTGCCTGCCTACACTGATGGAAATGCGAAAAACCTATCTTTTCAGCTTCCTTCACAAAAAGGAGACATATGAACATAGTTCTGGACAGTGAGCTATAAGCAGTTTATCAAAAGCTTCTGAGAAAATTTTTCCTTCAGAGGATGGATATTACCACTATCCCTTCCTCTCATCTTCCAGCTTGAACATGAATGTGGTGCCTTGGAGCCATGAGAGCTATCTTGCGATGATGAGATGAATGAAGAAAGAACTTCAGTGACACAAGCCCTGATGTCAGTGAGCAGCTGAACTAATACCACAGCCGTCAACCTTTTAACCACTTGTTACACAAGAAAAATAAATTCCCTATTTGCTTAAGCTAGTAACTGTGTTGTTACTTACAGCTGAAAATATCCTGATACAATTTATATAAAAACTTGTAGAAAAAATTGTAATATTTTACCTTTTAAACTGGTTTAATTCCATATTTTTTGTAAAAGACACATTCCATTATCTGAAAGCAAATCATCCTACCTCATTCTTCCATAGGTGATACTGTAGGGCAAATGCAGTAAAGTCTCTTGGAACGCAGAAAAAGTTGCATTCTGAAGTGGAGCCATGAGAAGTATTTTTGACTTGTTCAAAGTTTTTATTAATCAATTCCAGAACCAAAGGATCAATAAGGAACACAGGTACATTTTGGCTGGTTGTTAGCATAATAAATTTTTTAACTGCACGCTGTTTGAGAAAAAAAAGAATTCCCTTAATTCTATTAAACTGATACAACAATCTATCTTATTAAATTTTATTAATTTTATAAGTACATAGAGTGTGTACTAGATAGATACCATCCTTATTAATATGCTAAGAAAATAATGATACGTGGTCCTTACCCTCAAGAAGTATGCGGTCTACTGAGGAAGATGAACAAATAATTATAAATCAAGATAAAAATATGCTATAGTAAAAATATATGCAACATATTATAAAGTACAGAACAGTAAGCTATTAATTAACTATATGTCAAAAGAATAAGAAAATCTTTGTAGAAAAAGTAGTATCAGAGATGAAAACATCAAGCTTACAAATTATTCTCTTGATATTAGCTAAATCTGTTGAAGCAAAAGTACAAGAGGAAATACCAGATCTATTAGCTTTTAAAAATCAGTCAACCTTTTGGAAACCAAAAACCTATTTTATATGCCACTTTCCTTCATATTTATAATACTGCTTAATAATCTTTCTAAGGAAAAGACCCCAATTAAAATACATTGCCTGCTTAGCCATTCACATAGTTTTTCTAATACTGTAATTAATTTTTAGATACAATTCTGGTGGGCAGTAAGTAGAGTCCTCTACTAAAAAAATAAAATTTTAAATTAGAATAGAAACAAACTAAGTCCCACTTAGAAGTAATAAAACCTAAAACTAGCAAAGATAAATAGAATAAGGGGTACACATTACTGCTTAAAAGCGGACTTCAGTCAAAGCAATCATGACTTCAAAGGGATGTATGCCTCTCCATAGAGAAAGATTATAGATCACTATCCTTCATGAATAAAGATATAAAAATACTTAATAGGACACTTGAAAATCAATTCCAGTAGTTAAAAAAAAAAAGACATCCAAAAAGTAAATGTCTTGACCAAGTAGGGTTTATCCCATGAACAAGAGAGCATTTGAAAATCAATGAAATTCATTGTATCAACAGAATAAAGGGGGAAAATCTACGATAATTTCAAAACAGAAAAAGTATTTGATAAAATTTAGTACCTATTCATGATTAAAAACTCTCAGCAAACCAAGAATAGGATACCTCCCGAATTTGATAAAAAGTATGCACAAAAAAATCTATTGTGGAGTTGTTGAAGTTCTTTATCATGAGACCAGTCTTTCGTCAGATACACGTTTTGCAAATATTTTCTAGTCTGTGGCACATCTATTTATTTTCATAATGGTGTTTTTTGATGAGCAGAAGCTTTAAATTTTGATAGTCTAATCAATTTTTTTCCTTTTATGTTATTGCTTTCTATGCTTTACACTAGGAGAATAAAAGGAGAAGAAGTAGTTTTAAAAGAAAGATGATTAGATGACAGACATTAGTACAAATAAGGTATTTAATGTTTGTTGAATGAATCTCTTTCAGCTTGGTGTTAAATACAAACGTGATAAACACACTGATGGCTTCATTATGATTATTACTATAAATATAGATTAAGTCAGGGTCAAGGAGAAATTCTATAACTCACCTTGTAAGTATGCCTTCCAGGTTGTTATAAATGCTCCTTGGAAAGAGATGTCCAATAGACTCTAAATTCAATTAATTCTAAATTGAGATGACTATTTTCATCTGGCCTTCAGTAATTCATTTTGTTTACAAGAAAGAAAAATGTCTTGTTGAAAATAGGATACACTGACATTATAATAGCCTATTCATCGGCCAGTGTATTACAATTTTATCAGAACCTAAAAGGGCTTGGTGGGACTTGTTCTTAGTGAAAGGCTAGTTCCTAATAATTATCTTTTCTAAGTGCTCTCAAGTAATGTGTTTAATAATTCATTCTATCAGGCTTCAGTACCACAACCGTTGATCAGATTTCACCTTTCATTACTTATAAAATATTAGAACAAAGTATTTCAGTACTTCTCTCTTCCCTGTGGTTTTGCAACTATTATAAAGAGTGATTTTTAGTACTGTGCAATATAATTACAAAGAGAACTCACTGTATATAGTAAGCTACTCTTTAACTTTTTGATTATTTACTTTAAAAGCAAACTCTTTTTAAAAAATCAATTATTTTATCCCACCTCAATGGTCATTCTCTGCATGAAAAAGATGGGGCTGCTCTACTTTTTCTTATAATGTTAAGCCATAAATAAACAAATTCCACTTTAAAATATATCAGTGAATCTGTACCCCTGCTGACTGTTTTATATACTACAGGTTTTGGGAATGCTGTTGGCTGAGCCAAAGTAAAGTCTTCTGTCACACTGAAGCTATTAAAGCTTTAAAACTTTTTCTGAACATGCTCTTCCACTGCACATATGAAGACTCTTAATAAATGGCAAACTTGAAAAGTTTGTTACTGTGTCATCACATTTTAGAGTGTTAAAACTTATGATAGAGCACCTCCATTACCTTCAGATGGATATATTTCACGGTTGTTAAATACTGAATTTTAAATCTCAACAAATTATTTCACTCACAGGACAATAAATATGATCCAAGTATTATGTATGTGTTTTTCTTAAAAGTGGGATGGAAGTAGAGCAGAGCTAGACAGAATGCTCAAAATGCCCCCTTTTATTTCATCTGCTGGAGTCTTTATAATTGTGACTGGGGACTATGAACCCCAAGTGTACCATACTTCTCTTTCCCCTCAGACTATCTCAAGTTCACAGAGCAAAACACCTGCTATTTTTAATAAATTAAAAGTTCACATTGATATTTCTAGACTTGATAGTTGATGAGCCTGATAATAGGATATCCTAGACTTTACCTTTTCAACAGTGGTCCAAACCCAACTGGTGTCAGCAGTGTCCTAAAACTATCACTAGTACTTTACTGCTGCTTGGTCATGTGAAAGCCCACTTCTAAACTAAAGCGTTTGGTGTCCCTGGTTAAGAGAAGCCAAAGATTGAAGTACATCTAAAAGAAATATCTAGTCATATCCAGAATGTATACTAACAGGATAATGTAATTTTTTATTAGTAACCTAGTTTTTCATTCTAAGTCTAGTTAGAAAAAAAGGTAAGAAAATATATTTTATAAATGTGTAGGCTCTGAAATTTGTAAACTAAAACAGGGATATATTATATATATTGCTAGTTTTCCTTATCTTATAAAGGAAACATGTTGAATAGATTTTTATTCCTAATCATTATTTTATAGTTCAATCCTTATTCACATATTTATTCACTTGGGGAAGCACCACAGCTCAGTGAATGAGGGTTCTGGAGGCAAACAGAATCAGGACTCAGTCGCTTAGCACACTAACTGAATCTACGTGAACTAAGGATAACAGTGTGTACTGACTTGTTAGAATTTCCATAAGGACTAAGTGAGATATTGCATGTAAAGCACTTGGCACAGGGTCTGCCCCTTCCCCTCGACCACCTACCCTTACTCCTCACCAAGGTAGCGATTATCATTGTCATCACTCAACAAATACCTACTGAGTATATAAACGAATAAACTACATGGACACTGTAACTGAGGAATTTCTTGCTTATTATACATACCCATTGTATGCTATCAAATCCAATTCGGCTTCCTTTGGATTTTGATAAACCAGCTCCATTCTAGGAAGATCACAAAAGAACATTTTAGTAAATCCAAAGCCCAGCATGCAACATTACATGTAGGGTAAGCATGAGATTCAAACTATACAATGGTTCATAATCATTAAAAATCATTCGCCAAATACCTATTTTCATATAGTCATGAACTAAGAATTCTATAATTATGTATACAACTACCCATGATGGAAAATACTGACAGACTGTAATAAATTATTATTAAACGGTAAGGTGTATATGTCCAACATCTCTAAACTAATTAATTTCCATTGATGAATAGTAAACTCTTTGTTATCTCTTTGGAATTGGGGTTTATCCATTTAGCTCCATACCCTTAATTTCAGCTTATCTCCACACTGAGTTAGTGTTAGTACACCTTGGCAAAGTGATAAGAAAGTATAACATTTATTAAGCAGCTTCTAAGTGTACTGTGTTTGACATTTCCACATTTGAATTCTGTATTCTCATCTACCCCACATAATAATTCTGCAAAGTAGGCATTATTTGTTTTACAGACAGTTTTAGTGCCCATACTTTTCTTAACATACATAATTCCAAATGTTGAGTTTAAAATATTTGTTTAAATATTCAGGCCTAGAGAATCAGTTTTCAACTGGTAAGCCCCAAAATACTATGAAAATAACAGAAGAATGTCTGATGGCCTAGGGACAAGCTCAAAGAAGAACCACAGAAGTTTCTTATGCCTTGAATGTTCTTTATAAGGTATAGATGGGAGGATGTTGAAGAATAGTCTCACACTAAAAATGAAATGTGCTCCAAATTTCTAAAAAGGAGACTCATCCCACCCCAAACATAAACTCAAAGGCAGGAACAAAATCCAATTCATCTTTATATTGCCAGTGCCTTGCATGGTGTATGGTAATTAGTAAATGCTTAATAAGGGTTTGTTAATTGGAGGAATGGAGGGATGAAAGAAAGAAAGGATATACTGAGTAATGAAGGTAGAGTCTCTCCTCACGATCTCAGCAATGTAGACAATCTAACATTTTATTTTTTTAATATATTTTTTTGTTTCCTATTTTCTCTTAGCTCGTTATTTATATTCCTAATTTTTATTTTTTTTTAATTTATGGTTTTTCCCCTCTTTATTTTCCCCCCACACCCCCACTTCTACCCCTGACCTATGGATGTTGCCCTTTCCCCTTAAGAACTGGATCACTGAAGGTGAGGGCATCTCATTCCACACGCTTGCAGCGTGCAACTGGGTCCTGGTGCCCCTGGAGCCCTCGGGGGGCCTGGTGCACCCAGGGCATGGGATGGTCCGTGGCTCTACCTGGGGCATGAACCCAGGACCTTCTGCATGTAAAGCAGATGTATTAACCTCTACACTATGGAACCACCCGACAATCTAACATTTTAATATTGAGGGATATTTGAGAAAAAAGAGACATCAGTGTTAATTCCCATCAGTGTAAAAACAGGATATCATCTCTTCTTTCTTAAAACAAATAACAAAAAACAAACAAAAAAACCAACCCCCTCTTAACTCCTCTCTCCCAACGAATAATTTTCTGTTTCCCTTTACAGCAAAACTCCTAATGGGTTGACTGCTTTCATTGCCTCTAACTCGTCTCCTTCCATGAACTCACTTGAGCCACAATTTATTCTGTCCCTGTCTTATCTGATCTATAAAGAACTGTTGGTTGCTTCTATCTCACTTAAACACTTCATTCACTTGGCTCTCAGGATCCCCATACTTCCAGTTTTCCTGCTATTTCTCTCTGGCTATTTCTTCTTAGTTTCATTTCCTAGTTCTTCTTACCTCCTTGACATGTTGGAGGCTCCCAAAATTCAAGCCATGGGACTTTTTGTTCACTCTATGTTCATTTCCTTCTACTCCTACGGTAATTCTTCTACTCCTATAGCTTTAAATACCATTTATCTGCTTCCCAATCCCAATTTATATTCCCAAACATGCCAGTCCTTTGACCTCCACATTTCTACATCCAACTGTCTCTTCATCTTCTTCATTTGGATGTCAAATGGACATCTCAAACTTTACATGTACCAAAAAACAAAAACCAAAAGGAATGCAGTCACTATTAACTAACGACCCTACAAATAGAGCACCAAGAGAATAAATAAGCTGACCTCACTTTTCCCCGGTCTCCAGTCTCCATCGGATGTTTTCCACTGGCTGAACTCAAATGGAAAACAAAGGGAAAGAAATTTGACTTTGGGAGGTGAACACACAATGCAATATACAGGTGATGTATTATAGAATTGTATATTTGAACCTATATAATTTTATTAACTAAAAAAAGAAAGAAAAGAAAACAACAGGCAAGGGAGGGAGCTCAGCTAATGCAGTCCATAGAGGTCACCCTCCCAAGGCACAGAGTATGGTGAGGAGAAGATCTGCAGAGGCAAACGGAGGCTACCTACCACATCATACTAAGAAGTTTGGATCTTACTCCATAGGTATGCCATGCAGAAAATAACTAGATCGGATCTCTACTTAAAAACAGCTATATGGAGGAGGATTACAAAGACTTCAGATTAAAGGAAAGAAAAGTTCTTAAGCTTTAAGCAGTGAAGTAGGCAGAACAGGGTTTTATGAAGTGTGTTTTGAAGAAGTAACCTATGTCAGTTGTCATTTGTTTATATGTCTCTTTATATGTTTCTTACCCCTCTCTCCTTCAACCCTAAACTTCTCCAAAGTATAAGTTTCTAGACAGCAAGGATTACACTCGATTTCCTCATTCTGTCTCATAGCCTAGTACTGTGCTTGGCACACATTAAGCCCTCAATAAATATTTGACGAATGACTGAATGTTCTATAAGAAATGCCATATGGCTAAAGTGAAGAGGTTTTAAAAAAGCCTAAAGATATTCTGAAGCATTGTGTATGGGATATTTACAGTGAAAATTTAAGTGAAATAAACAAATAAAAGGAGAGATGGAAGCAGATGCTGAAAAGACTGGAAGAAAAAATCTGATGGCTAATGAACTTCACTGATAAATGAGTCAAATCAAGGTAAGCCATGAAGGAATGCATTTGGGAACCAGGTGATGATTCAAGGAAAAATCCTGTCTTTTTTAAAAGAGAGTATCCAAGAATCAGTTTCTGACAGAAACCAAAAAGACAAATTCTTAATTTGGCATGATCATTAATTATTCCTATATAGAATCAAACAGTAATACTTTTTAAGAAATGAAGTCTTTAATAACTGATCTTTTCCCATTGTTTATAAATTTGCAAACCTGATGATCAGAAACACTGACTATGGTGAATGCGCCCTCCAGGCAGCCTTCCCCTTCTGTATCTCAGTGCCCTTCCTTCCAGGAGAAACACATTTACTCCCCAGATATAAAAGCTAGAAGTGGATAGGATTCATAATAGAAATGTGAACTGGTGGGAAAGCAATGTTTATTAATAATCAAAACTACTTGGCCAGAAAATCTATACAGTCTGAAGTCTGAGAATAAATGAAAGAATTTTTAAAAATCTTTCAATAGTAATGAAAAAAATATTTATTTCTTCTGGATAATGGCAGGAGTTGGGGGACATGGAAAGGTGGGATGGGAAGACAGGGACAATAGCATTTATCAGTTTACCATACTAGATCAGACTGTCATATATAATATTATTTTCCAGCAATGACCTATTTAATATCCTTCAGAGCAAAATGGAACTAGCCAATAGTCAAAGAATATCGAAGGAAAATTATGTTTTTGCATAATTTTAAAGAGTACCTGACCAATTCAAAATATTTCAAAAACCTTTGCTGCACATAATCTAAATGGCTAAAAGATTTACTTCTGCATCTACTAATGATATACAAAATTGTTCACTGTGAATGACTACTGCAAATTTGAAATCCAAACTCTCCTTTCAACTCCCTTTCCCCGCTTTTTAACTAAAAACACACCCAGATTACTAAATAGAATGCAAAATAAGATATCCTAACACAGAACCCTGTAAGTGGTCTCTTCAGTAATGAGAACAGCTGATTACTGCTGGCACTGGTGTGCCTTTGGGACTACGTCAAGAATATCATTATAGTTGGTTTACTCAGTGCTTTACACAAACACAGTTCACTGACTTTATCTTCACTCCACTAAGGCATCAATATTTTATGATCTTCTGTTGTGATTCAGCAGTCTTTAAAGCAATCTCATTTCTTACCTTCTCATCCATCTTAGAGAAGTTTTTTTTGAACATACTTGTATTTACACATTGCAGTAGCTCTATGAGTAAAGACACAAGTTATAGGACCTGCACTTGGCCATTCTGAGCAAGAACTTTAACATACCTGGGCTAAACTCATTTACAAAAAAGTGAAAAATAGAAGTTCATAAAGACACTAAAGTGAATAGGATTTCATTTCTCAAACACCAATGTAAACCTTAAAAGTGCTAGAAAATGTAAGTTATTAATAGCTACCATCTTTTGAGCATCTACATGTATCACACATCAAGTTAAATGCATTACCTATATTATCTCAACTGGCAAAGTTGCTCTTAGTGCCATTTAAAGAAACTGAAGCTTAAAGAAGTTAAGTGACTTGCTGAAAGACAAATAACCAAATGAGAATTCAAAGCCAGGACTATATAGGGCCCAAAACCTCAAGAACTTCGAAACCCCTTCTCCTTTGCAATCTCAGGGAGGCTGGAAAAGCTAAATAACACCAGTAGAGTAGTAAAACCTTGCTTTCTCGGGTTCTCTTGAAGCTGGAAATCTGTAGGCTAATGTCACAAAAGTAGAAGCTTGCTAGAATGCACTATTTCTTCTTCTAGCCCCGACAAGGAAAATGTCAAGAAAATTCAGAAGCTCTGGACCTAAAGGTATCAGAGACAAATAACCACCTATTTGTTTAAGCTACTATTAGTCAGCCAAAAGCACCTCTAATTGATACAGATGCCATCACTATTGTTATTATTGCTATTATTCCCATATTTGGAAAGGGTATAAGAAATCCAGTATATTACTTATCCTTATGAAAGGTGACTTTGCAATATGTAACAAAATCTAAAACATGCAGAAATTATACTCTAAGACTTTAAACTAAGAAAATTATCAGGAAAGGTTGATGTCACACTGAGACATTCATTAGATAAATAGCCAAGATATCTGGCAGCCTCAGTACTTGCCAATTATTTTAAAAATAATGTAGCCTGGGAAGAATGGAGCTAGGTTCAACAGTCATCCCTGCATGTTAGAAACTGGGTGATTTAGATTATTATCTACCATCTCTATTTTGATTTTCTTGTCTGTAAAATGAGGTCTAGCAATCCCATGTAACAATGCTGCACAATAAATCTACCCCAATCATAAAGACTTGTAAGTCTTTGTTTTCTCCCTCACAGATCTGTGAGTCAGCTGGGCAGCTATGCCTTTGTCTGTTCCATACGTCTTATTCAGGGCCCCGCCTGAAGGAGCAGCACCTACCTAGGGCACATGGAAGGTCAGGGAAACACAAAGGGCAACTCAAATCATGACAGCCCATTTGAAATATCTACATATGTCTATAACATTCCATCAGCCAAATTTAAGTCTCAGTGTTAAGCTCAAGTAGGCAGGGAAGTAGCCTCCCCTTAGTGGGAGAGAGAGGAAAGAACTATTTCTGCAGAATAATTCTAACTATCAGATGAGAATAAAAAAGTAAAAACAAAAACCATATGTTTTTCCCAGGGTCGTTTTTAGGGTTAATCAAGCATGGAGAGCATCTAGCTTAGTGCTTAATAATGAAAGTCATTATAATTAACTCCAGTGGGAATATTTGGTAATTTTTCATAATTTGGCAAAACCTTCTCAATTTTGGAATTTTTTATCTGGACTAGAGAAGTATATTCTGTTTGATCTTCAGTAGCTATTAGTTTCCAATCCATTATCTCTGTATCTTTATGCCTACAGATTATAACAAAGGTAAGTTATACTATTATACTTCCCTGGTAGGTACTAAATTAAAAAATACATTGTACTAAAATTAACTAATTCGATAGTCTATCATTGGGTTCTTTGATAGTCTATTTACCTAATAGTCTATGTATTTATCATTGAATTCTTTCTAATGAAGGATAATCTGTTTAGAAGAATAATTTTTACATAACTATATCAGAAAATTTCAGTAGATTCAACACCACTGAAACTGGGCACTTCTGACTTCTAGTATGTTATTACAATATAACATTTAACTGCAATTTTTAATTGCTTGCCACACCCCACAAAGATGAGAATCTCAGTAAGAAATATGCAAGGATCTGAAAAATTGTGGTTAATTTTATGTATTGCAAAAGGAAAGTATGTTAGGAAAATATACAGCTAAAATGAGGCCTAACGATGAGAAAAGAGAAAAAGTTACCTTTGCTGATAAATAGTGCTTGTAGTAGTACAACTGAAACAGCAGAAACGCAGAACTTGTCAAAGTTAAAAGCGCCAAAATCACGTTCTTATTGATTCTACTCATTAGTCTGTGGTGCTCACTTGGTTGTCTTTTGAAAGTAACCCAGTTGGTTTCATCTTTTTGGATAAGAAGATAATCTTGTTTTCCGTGAACAAAAGGTATTTCTAAAGAAACAAAAACCTTATTTTTAATTTTTCACTTCCAATAAACAGCAACAAAAGAAAGAAAAAGTTATCTAAAGTTCTACAGAATGTTCTTTCATTTGGTAATTTCCTATCCTAAAGAAAGAACCAGATATGAAACCAAACCTGAAAGAACAAAAATGTTTTTCATAGCATTCTTTACGGTTGCAAATAATAAAGCCACAAATGGGATATTTATAAAAACTGACCAACACATTGGAGGGCTTCTCCCCCAGAAGAAGATCTGGTGTGGGGGCCTCTGAACTTGCATTTCTGACAAGTTCTAAACTGACCAACACATTGGAGGGCTTCTCCCCCAGAGCTTCTGATTCAGTAGATCTGGTGTGGGGCCTCTGAACTTGCATTTCTGACAAGTTCCCAGGTGATGCTGATGCTGTCGACCATACTACGAACTACTTCCAGAGAAGAAATCAAGAAAGCTTTTGGTCAAGAAACCACCTCTGCATGACAGCTCTTTGTTGTTTTTTGTGATTTAGGATGTGGTCAGTTTTTATAAAGACCCGAGTATGTTTCAGGTTTTTTTGCTAGTGTAAAGAAAGCATTACAAAAATTTTTGTTCTTTCATCTTTAGTTTCATCTGATTATTTCTATAGGAGAAGAAATTTAACATAGTTCTACTTCTTCTAACCTCCTCTTAACTGTCTGATTTTGGTTAAACATATTACATTTAGTTGTATTTATCCTTACTCTTTTAAATATACTAATACCTGTATTACTCGATGTCTAAACTTTGTCTTTTGTTTTCCAACTAAAATTAAAACAGCAAATTTATACTACCTCCTGCCTTCTCTTTCAACCCTTTTATTATTTCTTTTTACCTTGTTTTTTGTATTCTTTTGTATTCTCTAACTACATGTCTCACAGTTATTTCGGTCTTATTCCTACTGTTCTCTGTCAATCCTTTTGCCGTATCATCTCTATTCATCTACTAGATGGCTGATATTCATCTTCTCATAGTTTATCAAAAAGAACTTATGTGTACTATTTACCTTGAGTTCTTGCATTGTTCAAAAATGGTTGTCAATTGATAATTTGGCTTTGAGGTCACAATTTCTTACCCTTGATGACTTATAGGTTTAGTGCCACTCTTTTGTAATGCTAAATATTCCCTCGATAATGAGATTCTCCACTCCCTCCCCACTGCCCTGCACTCTCCTGCAGGTAAATTGATCACTATAACGGAATGAGCAAAGAACACATTCCTTACCTTTGAAACCCAATTTTCAAAAAACTAGTATGTAATTATGTTGATGATTGTATATCAGTTTTTCCTTATTGTGTGCCCTATCAATCTGTAGAATTAAGATTTCTTTTGTTTGTGCAAAGTTTTCTTACATTATATGTTTGAATATTTTTCTGTTCTAATGTTAAACTCTATTTCCGGAACTACAATTAAGCACTTGTTTCAACACCTTCATTCCTTCTTCACTTTGTCCAACTTTCAAAAGCCTGTTATCATGTCCTTTCCTGAGTTTTCAACAATGTTAACTCTCCTTTTTGCTTTCAGTGTGGCCTTTTATTTCTCTGATTTTATTTTTCAGCTTTGCCAGATTATAATTCACCATAAACTGTTCTCTTACTCCTTCTGCCTACCTCTTAGATCAATGAACTTTGTCTCTAATTTTTAAAAGTGATTGTTTCACTAAATTTGTTAGGCCGATAGTTTCTCATGGATTCTTTGTCACTTGTTTTTCCCTGTTTAGATTCTCCTTTCTTCTTGTAGCATTTTTGTATACTGTGCTTATTTCTTTTATTATTATTTATATTTGAATGATGTGAGTTCCTCCCAGATCAGTTATTTGCAAGATTGTGGAAGGAAGAAACAGGGCTGGATTCTGGGCCATGACTTCTTGCCTCACCAAGGGAATGCTTCCTACAAAGATGGTATATCTGTGTGTTTTCTCTTTTGCTCTTGCTTTCTTGCTAGTTCATGTTGCCAAACAATCCAAGGAAGCTCCCAAGGCCTTCCTATGCATCCTGATCCCACCATAAACAGGAGATCTATCTCTCCTTGTTCTGCCAGCTCTGTCTGAGACTCTATTGGCATCCTCTTTTAATTTCTTCCTGCTTACATATGACAACCATTTCTCAAATATTTTGATTTGGGGTTACAGGACTTCTAGTCTCATTGAAGATGTGATTACATTTCTATCTCTCATCCTCCTTGCTGTTTCAGGGTAACTTCAGACAGAAGAGGGTACAAATGTCTTTACTCTGCCATATGAAATCAGCAGTCTTGGTGTGGGATTTTAAAACAGTCCAAGTGAACTTCTAGAGCTGAAGCCTATATAAAGCAAATATCATAAGAAATTATAAAGGTCAACAAACTACTTAAGAAAATTATATCAACAGTGATATAAATAATCCACTTGATGTATAGATAATGTGTATTTAGCAAAGATAACTGAATAAATCATGATCATTTTCTATCTCCTTAAACTAAAAACTAGCAACATAAAATAACATTGATGATGGTATTAGATTTCATTGTCAGCTAAAATCTACTAAAATAAAACAATCAAATATTCTAAAAAAGGCAGCTCACAAGATAACAAGAATATCCTTCATTTTCAAGATTTCAGCTCAGTTTCTTATATTAAATAGTACATCAACGTACACTGATTCCTAATGAAATCTAAATTGACATTCAGATTGTGCCACAGCTCAGTATGTTCTACGTCTGAATTAATAAATGGGAATGCATAAAAGGCCTATACAAACCACTGCAGAAACATAAAGTCCGAATTAATATCTTGTTCTCTCTTTAGACACGTGTCTAATCTAATTAATTCTTACAAGAAACAAACCTCAAAATTATCATCGCTTAACTACATTTTTATTATCAAGATGACATCCAATTAACTTTACTTCATTATTTACTTTCTATAAATACCAAGGCAATTCAACTGCAAAGGAGGAGTATTAGCCTGTCAAAACATTCTTTTTTCCTAGCACTACCTCTGCATTACAAATTTAGTTACCACTTTAAAATGAATAATATGATACTTTAAAAAAAAGAGAGGCCAAGGCTTGTTGGTTTTATATCTAAAATATCTCTGGCATCAACTCCGTCTTCTTCTTCACTGTCATTCTAATTTAGATTCTAATTGTAACTAATGTCCTAATTTTAACTGATATCCCACTCTCTACTTTCTACCTACCCGTAATCTTACCTATACACTGAGATAGATGAAGCTGCTAATAGATTAATCAAGTTACACTAGGACCTAAAATTTTCAGTAGTTCTCTACAACCTACAAATAAAGTCTGAATTCTATACAATAGCATTCGACGGTATTCACAATCTGACTGAACACAAGTCAAATTTTCTAGGCTTTCTTCCACTTCATACACTCTGTGGTTTTGCCCAACTATTCCTGGAATACACCCCATACTTTTCTGCTTCTTTGCTTTTGTTCATTCCCTCTCGTCTCATATTCTCTCATCCATTTCCATAAAACCAGTTCTATTCCTCTTTTCATAGTTTCTCTCAAATGACCCTTCTTTTATGAAGTTTTCCGTGCTCTTCCAAGTCAGAAGTGTTCTCTCCTAGCTCTAACCTCCTAGTTTTACCTACTTGGAAGGAATAAATATTTACCATCTACCATTATAGGCAAAAGTGCCAAAAAAATGCTAAGCAATGGAGATAAAATGATAAACACCATAAAGTTCCCTATCTTCTAAGACTTTAGAGATGAGTATAAGAGTTTTCAAAAGAAGAATGGTGATGGTGATGGCGGGTGTGATGTACCTAGAGAACAGCACGGGAAGTTTTTTCCAAAATGCACAAGCCCCATCCCTTACCACCCAACATCTATTAGGAACCACTGCTCTAGTCTGTGATAGACTCTATCAGAGATAAACTCAGTGGCAATATCAACAGTGTAGTTGCTATGAAGGAGTAAGTACAAGTTACCATGGGAGCACAAGGAGAGGCAACTAATCCTAAAGTATTTACTGCTTTCTATCTTGAATTATAGTTATTAGTACCCATCGCCCCTACCAGCCTAAAACTAGCTGAATTAGTTTCAAGTAATAATAAGTATACTAAGTATACTCAAATATACAGCACAATGCTCAAGAGCACAGAAAACTATATTTTAAAGTTTTTATTTTGAAAAGTTCTATGTCCTGCAAGAACTTTAATGACAAAACAGAATATGAGATATGAAAAAGAGTGATTTTTTAAAAAATTTAAAGCCCATACTTGGTTCTAACTCTGAAACAATAAACGTTTAAAAATAACATATGGAGAAATATGACATAGAGCCAAAATAGAAATATTATTTGTGTATACGTTTCTTTTTTATATGTGACAATTTAGCTATCATAATAAAATGTTGGGAAAAATAAGTAATGTATTTTCTTAAACTTAGGTAAAGCTTCCTAAAGAAGATAAGTATATCATGCCTAATGGAAAAGAGAAGAATATTTCAGAAATAGTAAATTAAAATTAGGAGGGGAAGAAAGACAGCGAATGTTTTCAGGAAAAAAAAATGTAATGGGGACACCAAGGGGAGTTATGAGTTTAGGTAGGCCAAATATCTTCAAGTTCTAATGCAAATATGAGAATCTTAATATAAATATGGATTATTACAACACAGAATTATTCTTAGATGATGTGGAAGCAGGCCATCACTAGTGCATTAACTGAGATATGACGAAGAAGAAGAAAGGAATGGGTAGGTCTGCTTCCCAACTGAACCTTTAATGGATTATGGGTGTTAGAGCTATCGATCCCCTCAGTCTTTGGGCCTAGGGTAGCTACCGCCCAAGACTGGTCACCTGCAGCCAAGAACAAACACATTCTTTTATCCTTTCTTTCACCCTTATTATCAATTTCATTATGTGTCAAGACATGAAAAAGGTTGGGAAAAACTGGTGGTAGAAGAAATCTACGCAGAAATGCAAAAGAAAATCTACAGGATGGGAAGTACAAGATCGATCTCAGGCTCTTTGTACAGCCAAGGGCAGCATCTGATAGTCTTTCAGCTTCCCACTTGCCCTTTCACATTGTCACTTGTCCTTTAACGGAAATGGCACCGAAGACTTTGGCACCTGTCTTATCCTGACATCCCACCATCACTACCGTTCTTTTGAGAATCATCTGGGTAAGGATCTGTTTGAAAGAATGTCTAACTGCCTGACTTTCATTCCATTTCTCCCCACTCCTGCTTTCTGGATCACCTCTCTTAACATCAGAGGCCCTTGGACAAGAAATGACCAGCCCTGATACCTAACTTAGGTTCGTAAGGTGATTTGTGCTAGCCTGGTATCTTCAACAATGCCAATTTACTCCGGGACATTGGGAAGCATGGGGGATATGAATCAGACAGACTGAAATTCAATTATTCAAATATCACTAAATAAAACAGGAGGGTAAACTACAGAGAAGAGGGTAATGTAATCAGGCAAAGACATGTTTAGAGTGATGAGGTAACAGATTGGAAAGCATAAAGATAAATTACTCTTGAAGACGTATTCAGAGTTAAGACATAAAAAAAAAAAAAGAAAAACTCAACATTTTTAGCAGCTCTAACATTTTTTGCCAAAAAGGCCTAGTAATAATCGAGGCTATCCAATCTCCCCTAAATACTGCTGGTCCTTCCTGTTGTTCATTTCCTTTCCTTTCATTGCTAACTTCTCAAAAGAGCATCAGTATTCTGGAAGTAAAGGTTAGACTGCAAGAGTCTAAGAAGTCTCTTTATCTCCTTACCACTCATTCACTTCTTAACCCTTTGCAGTTTAACCTCTATCTCAATATGCCGACACTTGAATATAAAAAAATTAGTCTCTCCATTTGATACTTCAGAAAAATCATTTTATGACTCCTTTCTGAATGTCTATAGAGTAATGAGGTTTTTGAAAGAAAATGTCTGAAATCATAAACCTAGATAAGAAAGGCTAGATGAGAAAGGAAGTGAAGATAGGAGGGAACTGATATTACGGGGGCAAAGTAAAAGGGTGAGGAAGTGGTATTTCTTAATATGTCTACTATTCTGTGCTTAATACAAAATATGGTTGGATGTTCACCAATGGATGCTCTCTTTACACTCTCTTAATAATTTTATTAGGTATACTTCCCGTATCTACTGGTTAATTATTACTCATAAATATTCCAGCTGACTATTAGATATGTCCTCTTGAACATTCCACTAGCAACTAAAACAATCACCGTCCACCTTCAAACTAGATTTCTTTCATGACTGGACCATTTATCTATTCTGTTAATGGTATCTGTATTTTCTCAATTATTTATGTTTAAAACAAAAAAGTTTTTGTGGTTCTAACTCCACATCTAATGAGTCAACAAACTGTGTATATTACTCTCGGTGCCTCTAAAAGCTGTCATTCCTTCTCCATTGCCAGTATAGTTAGCCTAACTCAAAGGCCTTATTAACCCTGCCTAGATAGAAAGCCTCCTACATGAATACTCTACTACCAGGCTTTCTTCAAAACACCCATCTTAGGGACCAAAGTCCAATTATTTCTTTAGTATCACTTTGTGTCACTTTAAGACCTTCTAAGGCTTATTTAGTACTATTCCCCTACGAGGACCCACTGATACAGTGCTGTCTCATCTTGGCACCTTTGCCTATGCTATTTCTTCTATCTACAATGCTTCCTCTCCCTTCCCTCTGCCCCACTCACTGTCTATTGAGTAGTTAACAGTACAGGCTCTGAAGACAGACTGCTGTATTCAAATCCTGCTCTGCCACTTGCAGCCTATATGATCCTGGCCAGGTTATTTAACTTTCTATGCCTTCATGTTTAAAACGGATCTATAAATTATACTTGACTCACAGGGCTGCTCTGAGGATTACACAAAGTAATACATGTAAAATACTAAATATCACCAAGAACATAGTAAGTATACAATAAATGCTAGAATAATTAATAAGTTATCTTAAAAGTCTACTAGTAGCTCCTTCTGCTCTTGATTAAAGTCCCCTTCCTTTACATTTCCACAGCACTGTGTATTTGTATTCTTTTTGCAGTCAGTCTTAAATTATAGTTCCTTGAGACAGAAAGTTATATGTTTCCATATTTTCCAGTATTCCATATTCCAGAATCCAAGCACAGACATAGAT